AGGGGTTATTTTTCTAACAGAAAAATAAAGTAGACCGTTTGTTGGTTCGTGAAAAGGAAATCACTACCTACCTTCGTTGAGACCTGATGCGGAGTTATGGGATGCACTTTTGCAGCGTGTTAACTATCGTAGCTCACGTGTAAAATTTTCATAATGCTTCTCTCGGCACTCCTCCAGATTCCCATTCTTTGCCAGCTCCCTCGGTGAATTGTATATGAAACAAACTTTGAATGAGAATAATAATAACAGTAAAAGAGAGAGCGCAATTGCAGACTTTCAAAACTTAGCTTGGAGCAGACGTGTGCACATTTTTCAACATGACGTCTCTGATCCACTTGTGAAAGGACACTTTGATCCTCTCCTCTTTCATCTATAACTGCTTCAACCAACAAAGTGTATGCAGGAAAAGTGATTAAGATTGCACGACTGTCTGTGTCTTATGTGTTGTGTTGTGTTATTTTGTTATTTTGACTTCAAGATGGCGCCAGGAGTTGCTGCCTTTCCAGCAACTCCTATATTTTGTTCTTCTACTTCTTACTTTCATACTTTGCTGCTGTAAATTGTGAATTTCTCCATTGCGAGACTAATAAAGGCTTTCTTATCTTATCTTATCTTTATTTTATAAATACTTTTTGTGAAAGTGTGACTGATAGGATTCTAAAGGTGCAGTGTGCACTAACACAAAAATCTATCATATTAATATACACACAGATGCATATAATGTTTTGGGGTGTTTTATTTTTTTACATTTTTTTATTTTTTCCCCTCTACACCCATCACGATCGATTTGGGACCAGTCCGTGAGCTACCGGTCAATCATGATTGATGTATTGTGCACCCCTGGTATAGCTAGATACTAATACCATCTCTCTCACCCCTCGAAAGACTGGTGGCCGGTTGAAACCACATATTTTTTTAAACCAGTATCAAATGTTTGCAAAGGTAGCGCATGCTCATTTTTCAACAGGGTTCGTTCAAGGTCGCAAACGATTCCAAAGACATTTGCCAGACATTCACAAGCAGTTTTAGCTGTCACAAACAGTTTTTCTTATTGCAAATACATTTTGTACATGAACACAGTTCTTAGCCACTCAATGTGATATAGGCTTTAGGCATACCCTTGAGAAATTGGGGTACCTGGGCGCCCAAAATTGGTTTCAGTCTTGAGCTCTGCTTTCGAGAAGAGACAGGCCCTTAATGGGCAGGGGCAGATCCCAGGAAACTGGTCCACTACAGCCAAAGTGATCAGAGAGACAGGCAAGGGAGAGTACTTGGTATATCTATTGGTAGAAAAGGGAGAAGGAGACTTGGGGCCTTAGTTTCATGCGGAGCCCTCTTGTGGAATTGTGGTTGACATGAATAACTTTATGATGACCAGTAATTGATAGATGATCATTTACAAGTCAAAATTGACTAAAAAGACAGGCAGCAAATTGATTGAAATAAGGAGTAAACCATATAAAACTGCAGTGTTGAATATCAACGTAGTGGAAAAATTGGCTACACCCAAAAAAATAAAGAAATAAAATTAAAACTTGGGCAGCCAGTGCAAAAAGTTAGTCTGCAGCCCTGAAAAGATCATTCTTCCTTTCTCATCTGCCACCACATGGATCTCGGCTCTCTGCCTTTGTCGTGTTCATTTTCATTTTACACACCACCTGCTTATGCAACTGGCTACACTCTCCTAAACTTTATCATTAGTAGCCTTTGAATTACATCTTCTGTGTGTGATGTAATCCGCGTGTGGTTCAACTTCCACTGTGGTTCATCACCTCTTCCTGCCTCTTCTGGAAGTAAGTGTTCACTACAGCCAGTTTCATCATTGAGGATCAGTCCACCACCATCAGGACCCTCTCCCCCCTCGCCCCGCATTTCCCTTCACTTCTTCATCACCTGTTTCCTTTTCCAACAAAACCATTAAAATGTACCAATCCAGACTTTCTCTCTGTAATTGTTACGACTGACCCAAGTTACAACTGTCACTGGTCATTCTACTCAAATTATGTAGTTATACATGTAATTCATTCCTCTGCATGCAATTCAATACACTCAATGTAAGTGTTTTGTTATTGTTGGGTGCTTCCATCGATTTCTCTGATGTTGCCACAAGAGGAAAAAGATTGCAAATGATGTTGTTACCAATAAAGTGACCGTTGTTTGAGGCTATATAATGATGTGAAACGTGCTTTGTGAGGCACCTGGGTATATCAGTGGAAGACAAATCAATGCAATGTTGAAGTCATTCAATGATCACAAAACCATCAGACAGCTTTGGCTAATGTTGCCGTTTATGCATAAGCAAAGTAAGCAATAGGATCAAAACGAACTAAAACTTAATTAGATTTATTTTTTTTTTAGCAAGCAAATAGCTTCGGCAGTTGTAGTTAGGTGTTAGTCCTGATCCTTCACTGTGATTTACAAATGAAGTTGTTTGATGTATGCCAGTTCTCATGAGACATCTGTACGATTATACATTGTGTACTGAAACATTTATTTTGTGAATGCAAACACTTTGTTTTTCTTCTTTCTTCTTTCTACCCCAAATTTGGCTGCTGTAGACTGTAAATTTCCCCAGTGTGGGACAAATAAAGGATATCTTATCTTATCTTATGGATAAAACAGCATATGAAGTGTGCGTGCGTAAGATATCAGCCTCAGAATGGCGCACCTGTGACTCATTCGCATCTTGATTTAGAGGTTTAGCCAGAAAAAATGTTTTTAATGTAATAATATGCTTTATTTTTAATGTGATTGGCCAACTTTGCCAGTTTGATACGGAAGCCATTTATGTTTCCATTGAAGAGAATTTAATACAATGGTCTCTTTGCACATGATGATGATGATGATAATAATTTATAATAGACTTTACATTTCAGGGAAAGCTCCCATGTTCCCAAAATACGGCTCTATCTGAAAAGTTGCAATTTTCTACTTGTGGATGTCTACAGGACTTGCCCACCTAACCATCCCAGACGTACATAATTTTTCTGAGTCCTCTTCTAAAGCATCAAATTAGATAAACATTCTCATTTATGTTCTGAAAAAATATTAGGGTATAAGTCAATATTCTTGTGTGTTTACATTAGAAGTCGCTGATGGTGTCATGGTTTTAATAATTTTTTTTCATGAACTGCAGCATTCAGGAAAGCTGGTTCTGGGACACAGCATTACACACTATCATGAGGGAGTGTAACATTGCTGGAAAATTCATGGCACATTTTACATGATATGTACACTGAAACACAATAATGTTCATTGTTTTGGTTGTGTTGCTTTGGAGGGGGTACATCTTTTTTTAAGACTCATACTCAGCCATTTAATGGAGGCTGTGAATACACAGCTGTCACATTGCATAAGATTGAAAAAGAGTAAAAATATTAACTGTAATGGATACGATATCACTGGATGACGTGCAGAGAGCCCATTGCACACAATCTATGTAATGTATGTATTTTAGTAATGGAATCCATCCCTGATTACTTTCGGCAAGAGGTGGGGTCTACTGTCACTTGTCAATCCCAGGGAATCTTCAGCCAAACAACCATTCACACTCACATCTATTTGTCAAATTAGACTGCTCATTAAGATGAAAAGCATGGTTTTGAATTTGTCAGATGGGCACGAAAAAAAAAATCACTCACATGGAGAGAACATGCAAACTCCACACAGTTGGGCCTTAAGGTTCAAACTCAGGACCGCTCAACTGTGAGGCAGAAGTGCTAATAACCATGCTGTTCACACGCACACACAGTCAGCCTTTCTATTAATAAAGGTTTCCAAAGAATTTGATGGCAATGTGTTTAATTCTCTTGATTAATTTACAAACACTAATACGAAGTAGGTGGCACGGTGTATAACTGTTAGCACACCCGCCTCACAGTGCAGAGGATGTGGGTTTGAATCCGGCCCCGGCCTTCGTGAGTGGAGTTTGCATTCTCTGGGTACTCCGGTTTCCTCCCACAATTTAAAAACATGCATCATAGGTTGATTGACCGCTCTAAATTGTCCCAAGGTGTGATTGTGAGCATGAATGGTTGTTTGTCTAAGTGTGCCCTGCGAATGGCTGTCAATCAGCTCAGGGTGTACCCCGATGTGAGCTAGAATAGGCTCCAGCACACCTGCGACCCTCGTGAGGATAAGTGGCTCAAATAATGGATAGATGGATGTGTTGTCACAACACTCATTAACTCTGCTGTTTGTGAGACGAGGCCATTTGTTGTTATCGTCAGCTGAGAAGCTGTGCTGATAAAAAAAGCATCACGACAGAAACGACGATAACACAATGAATCAAATGAGCAAGCATGCGCACACATACACTTCCTGACACACAGGTGGTCATAATGAAAGGGGTATGAAATGATCAATCATCAGAGTGCACTCTCATGCTCCACTTCTCAACATGGAACTGCTCTCTCACTGGCACACACATTCACACACAGCATCCCTCACTGCTGCTTTTGTGTCGAGTTGCTGAAGCATTTGCACATGCACAGCACCATCATTGACATGTCAGCTTATTAACACATTAAAAAGCAATATCCTTGCAATTCTTAGCTGCTGTGCACCACTTACATCAACAAAGGACAATTGGAGAGGTCAAACAATTGTTGTCATATTGAGCTGTGACACCCTGTCCAATTTTTCAAAAATCTTGATAGAAACTTCAAAAAATAATGAATCCCATTTCTCATCAGAGGCATGGAGAGGGCGCCCGTGATGATGATAAATTTGGGGGCTTGTATGTTGGGGATCGTGTGTTAGTGGACATTTGTGATGCAGGGCGCATAACCTTTGATGTCCGCACCACCCACCCCTCCACCCGTGTCCACAAATTATTTTTCGGAGGCATCAAAAACAGTCATTCACCCCACAACACTGCATCTCATATTAAAATAATAAATCACGTGGGATCAATCAATTTAGGTTTGATGTAACACTGTTCTGCAGTGGCAAAATTGCGGTAATATTTTTAAATAAAGTCTTGTAGGTTACAAATTTACCTGGATGACACCTCCTCCATGACCACGAGTTCCAGCTATAAAAGACTCTGGCAGCTGCAGCATCTTTCCTAACCAGTCTAACATCACTGTTTCCAGCTCGGTGCAAGCTGGGCTGGCAGCCTGAACATGCAAAAAAACATATGAAATGTCAACATTGGTGAAAAAAAAAAAAGATAAGCCTCAGAGGAAGCAATGTTTAGATTTTTGTTACCCAAGAAAATCCAATGCATCCAATGGCTCCACTCAGCATATCTGCTAACATAGCAGGGTAGGAGGAGGCTGCAGGGAAGTAAGCATAAAAGTATGGACTGTGCCAGTGGGTAATCTGGAATGAAAAGAAACAAAATCTCTGACTATGGACACTGGAAAATGGATGGACACAAATTCAGTGCTGTAAAGATAGGTCTCACACAGGGCCCCATTCAAGAAAGAAGACCCAGTGGTACAGTGGATTGTACCTTGAAATACACCGACAAATCTTAAACAGACAAATTGAGAGAGAGAGAGAGAGAGAGAGAGAGATAGCACATCCACCTCACAGTGCAGAGGTGCAGGGTTCGATTCCGGCTCTCGCCTTCCTATGTGGAGTTTGCATGTTCTACCTGTGTCTGCGTGGGTTTTAAGAAAACCTTTATTTGTCTCACAATGGAGAAATTTCTCTGGGCACTTCCTCCCACATTCCAAAAACATACATGGCAGGTTAATAGAACACTTTAATTGTCCATAGGTGTGAGTGTGAGCGCTAGTGGTTGTTTGTCTATGTGTGCCGTGCGATTGGCTCGCAACCAGTGCGATGACGGCTGGGATCGACTCCAGAACACCCACGATCCTTGTGGGAATAAGCGGATTAGAAAAGGTGTGTGTGTGTGTGTAGGTGTGTGTGTGTGTGTGTGTGTGTGTATATTTTAGAGGTGTCATTAATTTAAATCAATTTTAACGTGATTAAAATTTTTATCGCGAGATTAATGCGGCAACATGTCACAGTGGATGTTACGTTGCTCTATAAATAAACCGTAAACAAAACAACAAGCGCGCTGCACAGGTAGCGCGAGACACCGAAAACGGATACTTAGAGTTTATGAATGGAAAGTTCACTTTTAAAAAGTTGCCAGATAGTTCCACTGAGAAGACCAAAGTTACCTGGATGTATTGCAGTCGTAAACTGAGCTATCATCATAGCACGTCAAGGCTGAAATGCCACTTAATGGCCAAGCACACAGCTGATGTGAGTACTCCGCCCCCTCATCTAAGACAGGCAGCTATGGATAATTTCAAAGCGAAGAAAATGGATAACACGACGAAGAACAAATTTGCTGAAGCCATAGCTAAATGTATGGCTACTGCATGCAATCCTGTCAACATTGTCCACAGCTAGACTCAAGCTGAAATCATTCGCATTGCATCTAACGACTCCACTACGGGTTGCCAGCGAGAGCCTCCATTACAAGCCATGTACAGAAATTGTACGTAGCGGAGAAGGTTAAGGTACACCAAGCAGGAGAAGACACTGTTTCGGGAGAGAAATAAGAGACTAGGTTGATGAGCCTCTGGTGAATAAAGAGCAGTTAGCCTGTTGAGTACGATGTATGCCACTGACGTGATTGTTACTTGTTTGCAACTATTTTGCGTGGAAGGTTACCGTGTTCCGTGTCTATATAAATAAAGGGTGTGGAGCTTCTCTGTGTTTGTCTGACAGTGACGGTGCGCTGAAGCACGTCGAGAGTTCAGCGGTGCAGTGGTAGCGACCACACTGAAAATAAAACGTCTCCAGTGTTGTGCCTTGAACCAACTGTAGTCATCCAAAATGATGTCTACACAAAACCATCGAGAGACTTCCGTGCAAGAAGGACCAACAGAATCAACATAGCCTGAGTGCTGTGTTCAAAGCAAACTTGAGAAAAAAGAAGCTGCAACCATGGCTTAAAACCACTATAGGCTGAGTACTAGTTTACCTTGTGCACTTTATAATTTTATATTGCTCTGTTTTGATTCCCTAAAAAGAGCTGTTAAAGGCGCTGTTGTGTGACAAAATTTTTTTTCACTGTTGTTGATGGAGAGTAATATTTTGTGAGAGATTATGTGTGAATAACTGCTCCAAGTGAAAAATGTTCATGTAAAATTGAAAATCGAAATTGTTGTTTCAGTAAATATTTGTATTTTGCACATAGAAAACTGATCCATGATTCCATGTTGATGAGAGCATTAAAATGGGAAAAAATAGGACAAAAAATATAAAAGAAAACTTAGAAACGATAAAAAAATGTGAGTAATCACGATTAATTATGAGTTAATTATAATAGTTGCATTTTTAATCATGATGAAATATTTAATTGTTTGACAGCACTAGTAAGAACACAAGACAAATTACACATTACACGTAAAAATTGATTCATTGCTGTAAAATATGTATTTTGTTATTCAGTAGTGTAAAACAGTGGTCCCCAACCTTTTTTTGCCCCACGGACCGGTTTAATGTCAGACAATATTTTCAGGAACCGGGCCTTCAAGGTGTGACGGATAAATACAACAATACGACCTGCATGAAAACTATGGTATTTTCGTAACATAATAATAAAAACGAATCATGACACGAGGAACGTCCTATCTGGCCGCAACACTCTCTGGTCGCTATGGTAATGTTTAAACGTGCCTTCAAAATAAGATACAGCGCAAATACAAAGTCATCTCACTCTCACCATGGCCGCATATCTTGCAGAGTGGGCTGAGTGCGTGCGAATCTCCCGTAGAGATAAATCCGTATTTTAAGTCGGACTTCTGATGCTGTCCATTAAATGTAGCTTTTTTCTTGAAAGTCGTAGCCCCCTCTTCTGTCTGCTGGCTGGGCCTTTTCCACTTCACAAAAACGTTTTTTTTTTTTAGTCATCTTGCTAGCTCCTGAGTTTCATTTTAGCGGTAACCTGTCAGAGGACTGAGAAGTGCACATTGACCTGCCCTTTGTTGAACCTTTATCTTTAAATCCTGAGAAAAATGGGGATAGGGAGCGGCCGGCCGCGCAATGCGGACCGACCGATCCCCCCCAGCGTGACCGCGACATCCCTGCCGCCGTGCCCCTGCACCACGGTCAGCGCCGCCGCCACCGCCTTTTTTCCGCTCCGGACTCATGGGGCCGGGGCGCGGGGTGAGCCTCCGGTGTTACCTTCGACCTCGGCGTTCGAGATCATGCGCGGGCCACTGGCCGCTCTCCGGTAATTATCCTTCCACAGGTTCACCTACGGAAACCTTGTTACGACTTTTACTTACACTCGATAGTCAGTTTGATCGTCTTCTCGGCGCGCCGCCAGCTCCGCTGCCGGCCCTGTTGGTGCCCATCCGAGGACCACACTAAACCATCCAATCGGTCGTAGCGACGGGCGGTGTGTACAAAATAATTGTTTGCAGAGCTGGCAACCAAACCATCCATTCACTGCCCCAGCATGGCGTGGATCTATTTTTGTTACCCAAAATGACCTGAAGTGATCACGTGATCATCATCGGAACTGATCGGAGATGGCGGAAACAGCAGAGCGGGAACCAGGAAGGCATATCGCCCGACAGCGGGGTTTGAGGGGAAGGGCACCAGGCGCATTTTCCGACAAAACTATTTATTTGAAGGATGGGGGAAATGACATACACAAATGAAATGAACACCACGGGTTAATTTTTAAGGATTTTCATTGATTTTAGAAGCTTTCCTTGAAATTTAAGGACAATTAAGAAAACAAATTATGGGTTTTTATGAACTTTAAGGACCCATACGAATCTTGTAAATGTACCTGTATATTTCTTGTTTTTAAGAAACTTTGTATTATGCTTTGCAAAATAATCTATCTTTACTCTATTAGTTAATTATGCGGATTTAAAAAAAAATGTCCAAAGGAAATCTGCCATTTATAATTTCCTTTCAAATTTTGGCCCATGACAGAGGTCATATTTTATCAAAGTAGCTTTTTAAATTAATCTGAAAAATGTCAATGTGCTCGCAAATCCATCAATTTTCCTAGTTTCTTGTGCAATTTAAAAAAAATGGTTCACTAGCGCCCCATAGATGAAACAGAGCAGCCCTGTTTGTATGCTTCACCTAGATCTACAACCAGTGGGGGGATATGTAACAGACCAAGACCTAGGAAAAAGTCTCTTAGAGCCACATGCTCAGACTATCCATTCAACCATCCATTTTCAATACCTCTTATATCCTGAACAGGGTCACGAGAGGGTGCTCGAGCCTATCCCAGCTGTCTTCAGGCGAAAAGTGGACTACACTTTAATTTGCCAACCAGTCGCAGGCCACAATTACACTCACATCCACACCGTCACTGAGTGGAACCTGATACCACGGTGCTCTCTCACAAGTCAGGCGAATGTACCACTACAGCAGGGGTAGGGAACTCCACTTTCCCGAGAGCCATAGCCTGCCTTATTTAGATTCCTCCCTACTCCAACACCTGATTCAATTGTTCATGATCGTTTCAGGCCTCTACAGAGTTTGTTGAGGAGCTGATCATTTGAACCAGGTGTGTTGAAGTTGAGAGGGATCTAAAACAGACAGGTTATGGCTCTCGAGAAATCGGAGTTCCCTAACCCTGCACGACACCATCGGTGACTGATGCGAAGTATGGGGCGGGTGATCAACACTCAGACTCATGCGTTGACCGAACTCAAGCGTAAAGTGGATGTGACATTGGAGTTGCTTCGCAAAATGGAAAAGACCGGGAGCAGTTGTACGGTGCTGGAAAATTACTTCAGCTATATATATTATATATACAGGTATATTCTAAGAATTCGGCAGATTGCCACCACGGAGAGTCACATGCTTGTAGACTCTCAACTCAACTATATTTATAGAGCACTTAAAAACAACCACTGCTACATACAAAATGCTGTACATGGAGCAAATATCATATATACAACAACAAACAAAAAAATAATACATTAATAACAAAGACAGTAGAAAGTACAAAACAGTAAAACTAAGATCAAGTCTGAGTCATGCTGAGTCAAAAGCTAAAGAATACAAATGAGTGTTGAGATGAGGTTTAAATATGGGCAGCGAGGGAGCTTGCCGAACCTTCAGTGGGAAGTCATTCCAAAGAGAGGGACCAGCAACGAAAAAGGCTCAATCCCCTCTGAGCCTCCGCTTCGTTCTTGGTACCTCTAATAATGTCTGGTCCGCAGACCAGAGGTGTGTAGGAGCGGAGGAGCTCAGAGAGGTAATGTGGAGCGAGGCCATTTCAAGACTTGAAAACAAATAATAGGATCTTAAAAAGAACTCTAAAATGTATAGGGAGCCAGTGAAGGGATGCCAGAGTAAGAATGTGCTCCCTCTTA